CTCATTTGATTTAAAAGGGGCAACCCCCCATGGTAAATTGATATCTTCAATGGGCCGATTTTAGGAGGATGTCAAGTATTTGCATTGAAGGCCAGGGATTCTCTATGTCTTCAGGTTCGTCAAACCTTCAAGTTTTTTTGGTCTCCAAGTCCGCCCTCTGCCTTAAAAAAAAAGGGAAGAGAAGAGAGGCGTCAAAAGGAAACACAAGTATAAGGAAAAGATTGCTTGGCACAATGTTTCAAATTCAGTGAGACTTGAACCCAAGATATTTGTGAGAATATGGATCTTAAATTTCGATTGATGGCAAGTAAGACATCTTCCGATCTCGAGGCTTCCATACCAAGATGCAAAAATTTTGGTGAAGTCGCACAATCTGAAATCGTCAACGTGTTAGAATTTTACGTCGAATTTGGAATATTATCTGAAAATATCCTTAAGGTATTAAATTTTGTATTCTGGATGTGATTTAAATTTCGAAGTTTAGTTTCCGAAAAATCAAACGGTTCATCCTACACCGAGATATGAATTTTTTGGTGAGACTGCGCAAATTTGGAATTGATAGCATGGTGCAATATAAAGTTGATTTCAGAATATTATCTTGGACGATTCTGAAGTTATTTGATTGAGAATTTTGGATATGTTCTAGATCTTGAAGTCTAGTTTTCTTGAAATCAAACAGTTTGCAATTTCGATATTTCTACACCGAGATATGAATTTATTGGTGAGACTGCGCAAATCTGAAATTTTCAACATGGTGAAATCTAAAGTTGGTTTCAAAATATTATCCGGCGCGATTCTGAAGGTTTTTTGATTAGGTATTGGATATATTTTAGATATTGAATTCATCAAACGGTTCATTATTTGGACTCTCCCACGACAAGATATGAATCTTTTGTTACAAGCACGTAAAGCTAAAAATTATGCGACTAAGATAAAAGTCGAACAATGTAAAGCAAAAGAAAAGCTGAAATATTTAAGCCCTCAAAGTCTCCAAGTTGAAGTCTTCAAGTGTATTCAAGTTGAAGTCCCCAAGTTGAAATCTTCAACTCCGCCGGTCTTCAAATTCGCTGATCTTCAAGTTGAAATATTTAGGCCCTCCAAGTCTCAAAGTTGAAGTCTTCAAGTCCGTCGGTCTTCAAGTTGAAGTCTTCAAATTCGCTGATCTTCAAGTTGAAATATTTAGGCCCTCCAAGTCTCAAAGTTGAAGTCTTCAAGTCCGTTGGTCTTCAAGTTGAAGTCTTCAAATTCGCCGACCTTCAAGTTGAAATATTTAGGCCCTCCAAGTCTCAAAGTTGAAGTCTTCAAGTTCGTCGGTCTTCAAGTTTCAGTCTTCAAATTCGCCGGTCTTAAAGTTGAATTGTTTAAGCCCTCCGAATCTTCGAGTTGAAGTCTGCAAAGTCCGCCAAATCTTTAAAGTTTTCCAAGTGTTCAAGTCGATGTCGTCTTCGAGTTGAAGCTTTATAACTTTCCAATCTTAAGGTGGACATATAGGTCCCTTTGCACCTTAAGTTGGCCTCTTCGCGGGTTTGTCCTTGAAAGGAACTATAACTTTCCAACCTTAAGGTGGACATATGAGTCCCTTTGCACATTAAGTTGGCCTCGCCGATAGTCGAGCCACATTGAGAGTAATCTCTCCGATAGTCAAGCCACATTCTGTGGACATATAAGTCTTCCAATCTTAAGGTGGACATATGAGTCCCTTTGCACCTTAAGTTGGCCTCTCCGATAGCCGAGCCATATTGAGAGTAATCTCTCCGATAGTCAGGCCACATTGAGAGTAATCTCTCCGATAGTCGGGCCGTTTTGAGAGTAATCTCTCCGATAGTCAAGCCACATTCCGTGGACATATAAGTCTTCCAATCTTAAGGTAGACATATGAGTCCCTTTGCACCTTAAGTTGGCTTCTCCGATAGTCGAGCCACATTGAGAGTAATCTCTCCGATAGTCGGGCAAGGATGAGTACTCATCCCTTCACACATTGTATTCTTCATGCATGGATCATCTCGTTGAACAAGAACATATATTCTCTTGTTTGACCTACAAAAAAAAAGAGAAACCAATAAAAGAAGAAAGCACAAGAGAAGAAGAAGAAATTACCTTCACATCAATGCTTCCAAGTCGTCAAAAGTAGACTCTGAAGTAGCTAGCAAACGTTGCAATTGATGTTCGTAAAGGGAATGCATACGGGTTTATATAGCTATCGAGATGTGGCGTTAAAATTTGTTGGGCGATGTGGGAACAGTGGTTATTAGAGTCCAATAAGGACTTGTTTTCTTAATTCAATTAGAGTAAAGAAAAGTGATGGGCAGTGAAGTCTACATGCAAATCGGGAAAGAGACAAAGGAAATCCTAATTATAGTACACCAATGATTAGTTTTCTTTGCCATAAATCCAAGTCTGGCATATCCTTAAGGCAAATGACTTTAATTTCTAATTCGTTGGAATTGACCAAAGTTTGGATGAAAACCATTATGAATACTCAAAGTTTGCTTGGATAATTATAGGATATAAGTGCTGGGTTGCAAATTGCAAATGGACGTTGCATGGGGCGTCTTTGAGGAACATGCGCACGTGATTTTTTTTTTTTACTTCAAGTCTAGTCTTTGAAGTTCGTAAGACAAGTCTTGAAGTAGGGAGCATTTGTAAGCATGTAAAATTTATTGGACTTAAATTCAATAAATAATTTGGATTATATTTTAAATATATTGATCCAAATAAATATATGGGCTAATATAATTGAATTAATTATATAAGTCCAATATATATGAAATAAATAAATAAGTCTTAATCCATTGGGCTAGACCATTTAATTGGACTAAAGTGATGAGCCCACTTCATTAAGCCCAAGATGTCATCTTCCTAGAGGCCCAGTTTGGTGCCACGTGTCAAATGACGTGGCGCGCCAAGTCAAGCGGAAGAGCCAATAGGACCATGCCACGTGTCAAAATGACAAGGCATGCCCAGTCACACTGAAAGGTCAATTAAATCACGCCACGTGTGCAAGTGACATGTTCTGGCCAATCAAATGCGGTCATGTCACACTTCAATTTGATTGGTCGGAAAGAGTTTTGTTTTATCACAACTCCTCCCTTCCACAACTATAAATAGGGGTCTTCATAACTCAGAAAAGACACAAGAAGTTATAAACAAGAAGCAAGAAAGAACTCGTGGATCAAACGCTGCAAATTCCTCCACAAGTTTCAAGCTTCAAGCAATCAAGTTCAAGTTCAAGAAATCAAGTTCAAGTTCAAGAACGAAGAACAAATCAAGTATTCAAGCTCAAGAACGAAGAACAATTCAAGTATTCGAGATCAAGAACGAAGTCAAATCAAATACAAGGCGTTCAAGATCAAGGCTACTTGTTCGTGATAAAATTCGTGGCAACAATCAAAGTGTTCGCGACGGATAAATCAAATTCAAATTCAAGATCAAGCTCAAAGGCCCTTGAATTTATACTAGAAAAGAAGAATCAGAGGATTCATAGCGATTGTAACACTCAAATATTTGAAATAAAATACTACGATTGTTGCGATATTTTTCGGTCTTGATTTTATTTTCTCGACGCAAATTTATTGTCTACAATAATATCAGTCATAATTAAAAGAGGAGAAAAGTTATACCTTGGTCTTCTCAAAGTGCTTCTTGAGATAGTAGAGTCTCGTGTTGATAACGTGTAATAAAACAATAAAAGTAGAAGAACAATATTGCAGAGAAAGAGAGAGTAATATTTATTGAATTTTGGGATGATTTACAATGGTGTAAGACCCCTCTATTTATAGGGGAAAAATAACTTAGCCACAAAGTAAAACTCTCTAAAATATAGACATTCACTTTAATTATAATTATATTCATAACCTTATGATTTTATTAAATAATGATAATAGTAGTAAAAAGATAAAGTGTAAATTCAAGAAAACCTCCATTAAAATGAAAAGTGAAAAAAACGAACACAAAAAGTGATACAACAGCTCGAGCCAGACGTGACCCACGTGGCGTACACTCTACGTAGTGGATACTCCAATCATACACAAAACCAAAAAGGAAAGGGAAAAAAAGGTAACCCACTGTATATATTTTGTAAGCTCTTCACTGTTTTACATTTCCTTCCTTTCTGTTTTGCTTTCACGTTCAACGTCATCGATTTGGGGTCTAGGGTTCCTGGTTTCTTCTCCCTCCCTTTTACTAAATTCAATGCAACCAAACTCAATAATACTTCAAATCTCCTCTTCCACTACTCGTTAGTCACTGGTACATGTTAATAGTTTATTTATTTTTATATTCGTGTTATACTCTAGCTTAGAAAATTATTTTATTTCCGTTTTTTAAACTATGGGGTTTGAGTGGTTCAACGGCGTGTACTCAATTTCTGTGTTTGGTTTCAGGAGCTGAGGGTAATTTGGGAAGTCCAGTGAAGGTTGGAGGTTTGGTTGGTGTTGATCGGAAAGCAAGTGAAGACGGTGGGCAAATGCCGGAGGAGGACTTGGTAGAGCTCAAATTTCGGTTGTACGATGGATCAGATATTGGTCCTTTTCGCTACTCACCTGCTTCCACCATAGCTATGCTTAAAGAGAGAATTGTCGCCGAGTGGCCCAAAGGTTTTGTTTTCTGCCTCCCTCCTTTGTTAAAAATCCCCCCTAGTTAGCAGTCAAGCATCGTGTAATTCTTTTCTGGGCTACGTAGAACCATTCTTGCCATGTTTTCAGTTGTTGTAATTTGCCCACATATGATGCCTCCCTGATTAAAAAGTTAAGGACTTTCAACTCTCGTTTTAGCTTATTTAGTTTTACAATCAGTGTGATCCTCTGCATTGAAAATTAGTTCTAAAAGGGGACTAAAGGGTGTGGCTTAGTGGTCGATGAAGTGGGTTGATAACCATGAGGTCAAAGGTTCACATCCTGGCAAAAATACTAGGTGATTTCTTTATCATATATCTAAGCATTGGTGGATAGAGTTACTTACCAGGTACATGTTGGTGGGAGGTAGCAAGTACTTTGTTGAGTTAGTCGAGGTGCGCATAAACTGGCCTGAACACTATGGTAATTAAAAAATAATAGTCTAAAGGACACCTACATAGTTTGAAAGTTGAACTTTGTTAGATTAAGTCACTTATAGGCAGTGTTCTCAAAAGCGAAAAGCTCTAAAAAGCGCTCTAGGACGAGGGTCTTTAAGAGCAAAGCGCAACTAAAGTGCGGCCTTTTGTAAAAAAAAGGCGCAACTAAGGAAAAAAATAAAAATACATATGTACTTCAAGAAATAAGAAACAAATTCACTCCTAATGTTTTCTTCAGCTACTAATACACTTATTTGCCGATAAAATTTGTTGTTTAGTATCGCTCAGTTCAAGATAGAACTTATGGGCATTGAGGTGCATGCCTTAGTGGCTTGGCTATATTGAACCGCAGCTTAAGTGAGGCGAAGTGTCCTCCTTGAGCTTTTTTTAGCTTCAGGGCTTAAGCGCGCCTTAAATGAGCCTTTGACAACAGTGCTTATAGGCAGCGCTTGAACTTGTTATACCGTTCATGGCCAGGCTTATTAGTTAGAAAGCTTGTGTCAAGTGGCAACTCTCTGGAAAAGTCCAAGAGTACTAGTGTTAGTCGCAACAACAACAACAACAACATACCCAGTATAATCCCACAATCTGGGGAGGGTAGTGTGTACGCAGACCTTACATCTACCTTGTGGAAATAAGTCGCAAATGTACTAATATTGAATTGATGATAGAAAGTATCTTTGCAGAATTTTTTGAGTCAAGAACTGTAGTGAGGTATTTCTTTTTCTGAACTTCAATTCCGTTTAAAATGACTCATCTTCAGTATGTTCGCATGAGTCCCGAGTTTCTAGTGTAGTCTGTTCAAGCTTTCATGCTGCTTATTCAGAAGTTTTATTAGCTGGTGTGAACTTTCATCATGTGCCCTGCTGTTTCACATGAAAGAATTGCATGTTGTATTCGTTTTAGTGCTCTTTTTATCATTGGGTTCAGGAGTCTTAGGCTGCATATATTTGGTTTTATTTTTAGTTCTCCAAAAATCCTCACTATCTTGAGGGTTTCTCCATAGTTCCAACTTTGTGTCAACTCCCTTGCTAGTTTCGTCATTTAGCACTAAATCATATGCAAAATCAAGTGCCATAGAATATCATCCTATGTATATTAGTTACTTTGTCCATAACTATGGTAAACAAGTAGCCATTCAAGGAAAATGCCTGCTATAAGCCCATATCATCCACCATAGAATCTCATCTATAGTGTATCCTATTAGCTAGCTCATTATAAGCCAGTCGCCTGGTGTAAACCCACTATATGAGAAATTCCTTTATGCATCCTCTCGATATTCCAGCACTTACGATTGCGTGCTTGCACATATTTAATGGAAAAATCACTTTATGGGAATGTATTCATACTACTACAGTCATATATTAAAAAAGGGGCATCCAGGTGCAATAAGCTCCTGCTATGCGCGGGGTCCGGGGAAGGGCCGGACCACAAGGGTCTATTGTACGCAACCTTACCCTGCATTTCTGCATAAGGTTGTTTCCACAGCTTGAACTCGTGACCTCCTGGTTACATGACAGCAAGTTTACCAGTTACGCCAAGGCTCCCCATTTACTGCAGTCATATATTCTTTAAAAAAAAAGAAGTAAATATATCCAACCTACGGTTCATATTGTCAAAAAATGTAGGGTATATATTTATTATCCATCTTTAAGATCAAGATCACCACCATCACCAGAGTGATAGCCTGTTTGGCCAAGTTTTTTTTTGGGCCAAAAGTGTTTTTTTTTTGCCCAAAGCACTTTTGGCCAAAAATTGAGGTGTTTGGCCAAGCTTTTGGAAGGAAAAAAAGGTGCTTCTGAGGCGAAGCAGAAGCAGTTTTTGAGAAGCAGAAAAAAGTAGCTTCTCTCCAAAAGCACTTTCTGAGAAGCACTTTTGAGAAAAATACACTTAGAAACAGTTTTCAAAAGCTTGGCCAAACACTAATTACTGCTCAAAAGTGTTTTTCAAATTAATTAGCCAAACACAAACTGTTTCTCACCAAAAGGACTTTTTTTTTTGTTAAAAGTACTTTTGAGAAAAGTACTTCTCAAAATAAGCTGATTTTAGAAGCCTGGCCAAACAGGCTATGAATCAGCCTACATCCAGACAGTGTGACCTAGATCCCAAATTGCATGATTGACGATTCATAGTGTTGTACTTGAAAGTAGAATATGTATCCAAATTGTCAGATATATGCTTAATTCTAAGAGTGGGGACTTGATAGCTAGATCATCGAGCTAATGACACCAAATCATATTGACTCCATCAAATATTGACAAGTAAGCATTATGGTCCTAATCATTTTGCCTAGGAAAGCTTGAAATAGAACCCGTGGACCTTAGGATTCTTGGTAGGGTTAAATGCGGTGCTCTCAAAGGCCAGAAGCGCAGGAAAGCACTCCATTGAGGTTTTAAATGCACAACAAAAATTGATACATATGCATAGTGAAACAAGGTGCTGATCAAGGGAAAAAAAAGTTAAAGAATATATATCTAATGCAGGGAAAATAACTATAAACATTAACAATAAAGTAAAAAACAAAGAAGCAAAGTAAAATTTTGTCATTCAGTGTTCAAATACGTACTGCAGGACGAGCTAAGTAAATTTTCCAACCAGGAGCTTTTTGGTTTTGAAGAGAACAGAAGAAAAAGTACTTGCCCACCTTCACACTAAAAAAGAAAAAACAAAAATAAGTAAAAAAAAAATAAGCAAAGTAAAATTTTGTCATTCAGTGTTCAAATACCGTACTGCAGGACGAGCTAAGTAAATTTTCCAACCAGGAGCTTTTTGGTTTTGAAGAGAACAGAAGAAAAAGTACTTGCCCACCTTCACACTAAAAAAGAAAAAAAGAAAAAAAATAAAAAGATCAGCCAAAAGTTGAAGCCTTTTGGGTTAGCTACAGGTAAAGTTCGTCCAGAGCCAAAGCAAGAAACCCAAACCGCTACTCCTTCAGAATTAGAAGAGAATTTTAAGTTTCTACACTTTTAAGACTGAACCTTCAATATGCCCTATTTTCACCCCCATCAAACAAAGACTGAACCCGAGACCGAATTTTCACAACTATAACCTATGTTGGTAAAAGTGATAGAGTTTTGAGCCTGGAAAAACCACCTTTATGTTTGCTCTATATGGTGCAAGAAAGTGAGTGGACATCTGAACTTTAAAATTTGACACCTTCCTCTTATATCATGCTTTATTGCTTTTCTGATGGTCCATTTATTTGCAGGGGTCTTTGAAAAGGGATTCGTTCATATGCTTCTTTGTACCTTTTTGTCTATGGGCTTTGTTTTAATAAGATTCAGTTGTTTTCACTGCAGATAAAAAAATTGCACCCAAGGCGGCAAATGATGTAAAATTGATATGTGCTGGCAAAATCTTGGAAAACAGCAGGAGTGTTGGTCAATGCCAGACGCCTTTTGGCGAGCTACCAAATGGTGTAATTACCATGCATGCTGTTGTACAACCATCTATAGTTAAAGCAAAATCAGGTAGGTTCCCCTTACTACTGAATATGCTGGCATTCTATGCTATGTCTTCCTGTTTTATATTAGGACATTTTAACCTGATGAAATCTTTATGTTCTTAAAACAGAAAGGGAACTAGAAGCTTTTCTCTCTTCCGTTGAATGTGTTGAACCTTAAGCAACAGTGTTGAATGTGGGAGTCTTATTTCTAACATAGAATGCATCTGTCTAACATAGTTATGCTGGAGATGTCTAGTGGCTTTGCCAAGATTTTCAGAAGATTGACATCATCTCTCTAAGGCAAGAGTGTAAGATATTCAGATATAGTTCAGTTGGAGTCTTTCACATGTGGTGTGGAGAAATGGCTATTTTATGAGAAGAAAGGAGGAGGTTGCGAAGATTTGACATTTCTCTGATCCCATCTTAATATTTCTTCTATTTTGAACAGAAAAATGCTTGTCAATTCGATTCAATTTACTATATGTCCGCTGAAATTTGCAACCATCCTTCTATAACACGGTGGATGTTTGCATTTTGTTGGCTGGCAGTAAAGATGGAGAACGAGAATAATTTTTATTCCTCTTCTACGAATTGGACTCATTAATAAACTTTTGTAAGAGAAAATATAGCCAAGTGTGGAAAATATTTGGGGAGTTGAGGTTGAAATGAATGACATAGAGATAGGGAAATGTCACTTGAAGTATCTCCCAATAACATAAATTGAGGAAGTTACAAAAATTGAGCATTGTTTAACCAATTAAATAGTAAAATTACCATTTTTAGGGTAAAATTGTAAGCGAATGAACATCGAAAGCCAATATATTTCTTAACTTGTTCCCACTTTGTATATCAGCATAGATGAAAACTTGCTATGGGGCATTGAAGAATGAAACAATGCATAATTCTTAGTGTTACTCTTTAGTATTTTACCACCATCTTGTGTTGACAACAGTAACTTGGGATGTTAACATATCCAGGGTTTGTTTTTTTTTTTTTTGAGATGATAACAGTTCATATCCAGCGCTTTTATGTGAGTGAATTAGCTTTATCATGGATCAATATATGCTGGGGTATCATGTGAGTGAAATTAGCTTTATAAAAAATCAGCTTGAATGTGCTCTAGGTGGGATGGGCAACTCAACACATGTTGCTCAACGCATGAGCTTATAATTACACCAGCTTTTTACGCGTATTCATTATGTCACTTTAAATGTATTCCATGATAACTCAACACTTGTTTCATGGTGTAAAATTGTCTTTATGATTTTTTCCTTTTTTTCCCTCTACTCTCTATTATATCCTATCAATATCTTTTTTTTTACCTCCGCCGGGTAAATTATATTTGTGATGGTATTATGTTAATTGGAACTAGAGAAGGGACTAGAGAAGGTGAATCCCAAAAGCTTGAACTACGAGAAGCACTCTAGAGAGTTTTAGATAAGTAGGAGTAAGACTGAATTGCCAGCATAAAAAAGAGGTAAGGTGAGGTGAGATTAGACAGGATTATTGTGCGTAAATGCAATAATTTAGATCTCGGCTCTAGGAGAATGGAACAATTGATGAAGATATCACACGCAGAATTAAAATAGGATGGTTGATATGGAGAACTGCTATTATTACACTGTTAATACATATGGAAGATTTGGTGTATGTTCCCAAATCTATTTGGGATTTTGTTGGTGATGCCGGAAACATAAGAGATACGCTTAACAACTGGCAGGGCCAAAGAATTACCAAGAGCAAAAAGAAGATATGGAGAGCTATTTCTTTATGTGTATCTTGGACAGTTTGGATTGCGTGAAACCATAAATATTTTGTGGATAAAAATCTATCCTTACCGTTCGTGAAGTTTAGATGCCTATAGAACATGTATTGGTGGAGCAATGTAAATTCTCTAGAGGATCCTAGCTTGATAGTAGAACTCATAGACTTCCTCCAAGTCTAAAAGGGAGAAACTACCTCATGTTTTGAACTACTTAAGTACCTGCTTGCTGCTATCTTTTGCTATTAAGTTTATATTTACTGATCAGAAAAGAAATGAAGAAATACTACCAGAGTATGATATGATAGAGAGGATACAATTTGATAGGCAAGTTCTATAAAACGGCTATAAGACCAATAATGTTATGTGAGAGTGAGTGTCGGGCCTCTATGGTTAAACATACCCAAAAATGAGTGTTTCAAATATGCGAATGCTAAGATGGTTTTAAGGTCATACAAGAATATAATTGGTCACATTTGACCAAAGGTACAAGTGGCATACTTAGAGGATAAAAAGAGAGAAGGTCACTTTAGTTGGTTTAGTAATGTCCTATGTCAACCTGCAATATCTCGGAATCCATAAAACTTGCCAAAATGTGACACAATGGAAGAAAAAGATTCATGTAGGCGGAACCAATGAATTGTGATTAAGTTTAGTTTGCTAGGAGTTTTTTTACTTTCATTGGAGATTTGTATACTAGTAGAAAACGTAGAGTACTACTTTTGAGAATGGTTACAAGTATTTATTATATATAAACAGCACAAAGCTTCTGCTGAAATCCAAATGTAGAGGAGAGCAAGAATTATATCCTTGTTCTTCTTACAAGGATTCAGTGCATCTATCAGTGTGTCCACATCTTCTACCAGTTCTTCCTTACACCAAAAATGAAATAGGAAAAAACTTGTGCAGATCAAAATCTTCAAATATTGGATTGATGCGTGTCTAAGTGGAATGACGTGGTTAACGAGGATCTATATAACCAACTCTAGCTAGCTTGGGATTGAGACATAGCTGTTGTTTGTTATTTTTTTGGTCTTTTTCACCTCGTCTATTTTGGTTTCTTTGCATTGTTATTCTTTTAACTTCTTCACCGTCAAGTACTGCTAGTTTTTGTCGAATAATCTGAAGATCCAACTTTGAGGGGTTTTGCTAGTCTACAATTGATGCGCATAATTTCTGATATTGCTATAATCCGAATAATCTTCCTCTTTATAGTGTGACCTGAGATAACTGCTGACTCTCAACTTGTAGAGCATATAATGAATGTGGACTTACTAAGTTCTAAGGAGTCCCGTTGCCACTTCTTGTTTAGTTGCAAACTTTCATATTTTTATAGAGGCATGTATAATTGTTCACCGTCTATGTGCGTATCTTGAACCTTAAGAGAGAGCTCTGTATTTGAAGATCTGAGGTGGTCCTGCTACACCCTATCCCCTACTCTAGCCCCCGGTTGCCAATTCTCAGTCCAGGGTTATGTCGTTAAACTTAAACCATTGATGTTTTATTCTTAACCTTTATTGCTGCTGAGACTTGTCTTTCTGCAACAGAAAAGAAGATTGACGAGACCCCAAAGAAAAGCATCTGTTCGTGTTCCATATTGTGAGATTGCAAGTGTGATTCAGTTTGACCTTGTGGTATTCATGGGGTTACCTGTGCTGTGAAGTTTGGTCACTGAGTTAATAATCTGTATGTACGTCATTATTACATGTTTGTTGAAAGGCATTTCTATGTAACTATTGCATGTTCCTATGATCACGTTTGTTCTATAAAGTTGGCATCTTTACATTTGTAGTCGCAGATTTCTCATTTGGAAATACAGGGAGGGAGGATGGGGACTTGCAGAAGGTGATTTCTCATCATGGTCATTGGACTCGGATTTTCTTGTCAAACAGACGCATAATTAAATCGACTTATGGATTCCACGTTTTAGTCAATAATTGACACATTAGTGTACGAGCTACCTACCTTTACGTAGGATGCTGGTTATTTTTTAATACTTGTGGTCGTCTTAGGAGGAATTGTCCTTATTGAGTGATGCAGGGTAAACTTTATTCTTACCAAAAAAGTCTCAGCAACTTTTGTATATAACACAGCCGAGTAATTCTTACAATATCAAGGTCACGCAGCTTGCGACTTTAGCTTTTATCGTCTTTTAGAATAACCGTAAATATGTAAGGAAACGAAAAAGATATGATCTCAATTGCTGAAGCTTGAAATTATTCTATGGTCTCATAATTCGTTTCCTCAGGTTTTCTTCTTTAAACAAAACCACTCCCGGTGGTGATTTTACACATAACTAAACAGCAAAAACTTACGTGGTAGGGGATGTGACTCGCATTCTCCAGTTCAAGCTGAGAATGGACCGTCCTATTTATACATTAGAGAAATCTAACACTATCAGATTTGGGGACTCGTTAAAAATTTGCCAAATTAAGCTTACAAAAAATTTATCATAAATGTATGATATCTTTCCGTTTCTTCTTCGTACCCAGCACTAACGAGAGTTTACTTTTGGGGACCTGGCTTTTCGAGTTGCAAGTTGCAACCTGTATTGATAGTGTGATGAAGGTGCAACAACTAAGCGTACTTATATGTATGGCCAAACTCAATAATATTTGGCAATTTAAGAAGCAGGTATCTAGGAAATTTGCTGCACTTTTAGGGCGGGAGTATTTGCTACAGTAAACTTAAAACACGCAAGCTGGTAATTAACTCCATTTAATCAATCTAGCTTTGGAAATAAATTACAATGTTCGGCTATATATATTATGCAGTGCTTCCGAAAGTGAGGAGTTATATGAGTAATATTCAAACGAATGATTTGACTTAATTAAAATAGACATCGTGCACCAATAAATTAATGTTGACCTAATCCATCTTTAGAGGTCCCATTCTTCTTGCACATAAAAAATAATACTCCATCTAGAACTTCGATAATTCTGTTTCATTTTCTTTTCCTCTTTGGCGTTGGTGCGTCTTTTTGTTTTGTTTTGTTTGGGCTTAGACAAAAGCAATCTCAATCTGAGTAAGAAATAGAGAAAATAAAAGAAAAGAAAAGAAAAGGGGACACACATTGATACAAGTAAACATTAAGGAAGAAGCAGGGAAGCAAATGGAGAAATCAGCATCAGCATCGCCATGCAGAAGCAGCTAAAATGGCCCTATCTTGCCATCCCAATAGCAAACAACCATTATCCTCTGTCAATTTATAACCATCACACGAATAAAGTCCCAGTAATATTTTCGACTGCGTCACTGCGTTTGCACTCAGTGCTACTCCTTTAAACCCCCTCCCTTCCATTAATCTCCTCCATTTTTCCAACCTCTCGTGCCGCACCACTCTCTCTGCTCCGTCACACGACACTATGTTCATTATCTCCGGCGCAAATATATACTGTTCCAGTTTTGCCCTCTGCGAAGAATCCGCTGGAAATGTCGCGTCCAGAGAATCAAATATCGCCGAATAGTAGTGCAACGCTTCTAAGAACCGGCCCAAAAAGTAGGGCCCGTTATGGCTCGCTTCTTGCTCCACGATGGTTACTATATTCGGAGCCTGGTCTCTGATCATGGCTAACAAATTCCCAATACAATTGACTGGGACTCTATGGAGTCGGTTCACCGAATTAACAGCGAGAGCCTCACCAATCCTTCTGTTAAACATGTGCGGTTTCAAATCCTCAAGTTGCTCGCCTACAGGGTGAAATTCGAACGGAACATGAAGGGAGTGAGCCAATTCTGTTAAACATCGGCCCGTTTCCCTGACGGCATCAGGAGACGGCCCGACTCCTGTTATACGAAGGAACGGAGCTCCTCCGGGTCGGGCTGCTAACGCTTGCATAAAAGCGGGCCATTGATAACCTTGAAGGATGTCTAAATCGATGACGTGGACCCGCTCTTCGGCTTCGAATGCTTCAAATATGGCTTGATTAGCTGTGAAATGAGCAAATTTAACGTAAGGGCAAGCTTGGTAAAGAATCTGATAGATTTTGAGGATTTCTAGGGAATTAGGAGGGAAAGGGTTGAATGGTTTTGGGGCAGAAGAAGTGCTGGGTTTAGTGGCTAGGGTTGCAGCGAGTCTAGCAGTAAGAGCTTCGGTGAAGCAGGAAGCGACACGTTGCATGGAGTCGCCGATAGGGGTGACAACTCGATTCAGATGGTGGAGGTATCTTCTGGCCAACATGTAGTCCTCTTTTGAGACTGCTTCTGCACAAGCAAGGAGAAGGTGCACCAGTTGTAAGCCACTGTCCTGCTCCTGCATACATGCGTTCAAATTAGATTATTTACACTTCTTTAGCTTTATTTAGCATAGTGCCACCTACTATATAATGTAGGAAATTAATAGCCTGCTACAGAAAGTTTTTTCTCAAAAGTATTTTTGGTGAGAAGCAATTTGTGTTTGGTTAATTAATTTGAAAAGTATTTCCGAGCACAATTAGTGTTTGGTCAAGCTTTTAAAAACTATTTTTAAATATATTTTTCTCAAAAGTGCTTTTTTAAAAAGTATTTTTTTTTAGAAAAACTACTTTTTTCTTCTTCTGCTTCTTCTCAAAAGCACCCTTTTTTCTTCCGGCCGAACACCTCAACTTTGAAAAAAAAGACACGTACTTCTAGAATTGAAGAAAAGAAGCTTGGCCAGGCTATAAATTAGAACATTGCTATCGAGTGAAACGTCTTCAAATTAGCAATAGATTATATTTGTCTAGTGAAGCTGATTGAAAGAGTCCAATTTTGTGGAATGACCAAGGACTAGGCTCTTTTCTTAATGAGCTTCTGTCCATACAAAGAGGGACAAACACGTTTGCATGGTCATAATAAGCAAGCCGTTAGAATTCGCTGTAGACATGTTGCCGTTTTTAGCTGACTTGGTTTAATTCCTACGTACTATTGAAAAAGAAAAATATTGTTGTAAACAAGGTAGATTAGAGACTTAATTTGAATAAATAGCATTGGAAACTGCAGCAGCGGATTCATATGGGAGGAGGTGGGTTGTATTTTTCTGATTTTATTTTCAAATAAGCACCCATGCGCTCAAGTGTTCGGCTCGATGAGTGCACCGCCTTAAGTTATTTTTTTAAAAAGAAGGCTTTCACTGAAATGTTTAATAAATGTGATATTATGATCCCATCTTTTTCTCTTAGAAGATTATCACTGATAATAGTAGGTTGTAAGTGTTCGTTGAAAAAGAAACTTCAAAATTGAAAGGTTAGTCTCTCAAAAAAGGCTTACATTTTGTCATGAAAAAGTACCAAAAGAAGATAATAAAATGAATCTTAAACTCCCACTATAATCATAAACTAAGAATGCGAATTACGTATCTATAAGGAAATAGAAGTACATAAAAAGATCTATGTATAGGATGGATGAATTTTTTTTTATTTAGCTTGATATATATAACATAAGATATTTACTGCAAGTAATGATTCTATTATTGATAGCTAGCTTTCAAAGTATCAAAATTCGTCGAAGACATAAATAAATACTAATAATATTATAGAGTTTGCTCGTCAAGTTGCGTCATCGTAAAAGAAAAAAAGAATTATTGTCAAATCATATATCTAGTTAAAAATAGTGGTGCACCTATACTCTTAAAATTTCGAATGCGCCTAAGTGAAAGACAGTTTAAATTTTGGCATATTTGCATGAGGTGAAATCAAGACGTGCAAAATGAGTAGTACTAGCTAGATATGGTTTCCTTTCCTAAACATTGTAAACAACCCTCAATTATAAGTGTCGAAGTAAATTTACAAAGAAAATTAATACAGATAAAGTAGTACCTGATCAGGTGCAGCAACAGCCAAGTTGTGATTGATAATTTGCGTATGTTGTAATTGTTGTGTCGTTGGCGGTTGTGCATGTGTTATTGGTCTTTGTTTTTGTTGGTTTTCATGCTGCCGTTCTTGTTGTAGCTGTTGGGACAAAGGAGCGATAGACCCCGTCTGGAAAATCTCATCGTCTGGGACGGCACTTGTATCGCCGAGTAAGGATCCCATAAAGCTATCTGGCGTATTAGATGATGAATTTGGCAAAGCCAGGCACTCCAACAGATCGGGCACTACCGAAAGCGCATCAAACGACTCGGAAGAAGATCCAGCCACACCGCTACCTGAAACTTTGAGGGCTGAATACGAGGATGCGAAACCCTCCTCCTTGTCATAATCATCATCCAAGAAACTCTCAAGAGCTGGCAGGTTAAAGCTCTCAATTTGCATGAACTGGTTATTGGGAGAGTTGAATACCTTTTGGAGTGGGCTCAGTCCCTTGCCTTTATTACTCGAGTGGTAATTAGGTCCCAAAGGAGAGCGAGGAGGTGAGAATATCATCATGCTCTGCCCATGAATCCCCTGATGATGCGCGTATACGTTATAGTTATTATTATTATTGTTATTGTTGTTGTGAGTAGTAGTACTGAAACCTGAAGCAGGCTGAGGCGAGGGAAGGTTCCTGACGGGGGAAGAGATCATGAAATCTCCCTCCAACTGATCAGCAAAGAATGATTCCCAAATGGAATTATCAGGTGATTGAATTTCAACATCATCGTCCACTTCGAATTTCAGGGCAGGGAAACTTAGACTGGTAGGTGTTAAGCTGCCACAATTGAGTTCAAAATCGGAGGTGATAGGAGTCACTTTCTTTGATTCAGAAGAAGCAAGAGAAGACTCATCTAGCGGCAGCTTACTATATGAATTCTCACTCTTGAAACTTCCTATTTCACTCTTTAAGCTGCCAACTTCGCTCTTTATGTCATTCTTTAAACTTCCCATGCTCACAGACAAAGAATTGTTCATAACACTCATTCACTGCCCCTGTGTTTTTTGCAATCTATTTATGCTGATGAATCAACCTTTATTATTATGATTTGATGTCCTATATAATTAGCAGGGAAATTATTAGAAATGATGAAGGTAATAAATTGGAAGGTGCAGAAAGAGGAAGTTTGATTTTGAAAATCAGGCGAAAAGGAAAAGGAAAGAGGTTTTTAAAAGATGAAAGTTTGTGATCTTTCAATCGTTTTTTTATTGGAAAATTAAGGGCATTCGTCAGCTTGTCCAGACTGTAGGTTCTGAGGGAAGAAAATCTTGGAAAAATCCGTGACTTCTTCATTTCGCGTGTTTGGAATTTAGTGAATTTTATCGACTACTTTCTATCAATCGAATAGGATTTGGAATCATACCTCTTAAACTATAGAATTTTCTGTTAGCTAGTTGGTCGATTCTACTTTATTTTATTTCATCTCTTGTTCTTTTCTTAAACTGCTACTGTTTATACTTCAAACAAGCAAGAATTGGTGGGGCCTTAAGGTCCAGTTGTACGAAGTTTTGTAGTATGGGCCCCATCCTGGGCCGGCCCAGCTGACGATAGCAAAAGAGAGCACATATTTGGGAATTTTGAATAAATATTCTAGCCCGCATCAGAAACTATTTATATTTAGTAGTTAAAAAAGTGTATGTACTTTGTATAATTTTTGTATATAACATACAGAATATATATATATACAAAAAAATATCAAATTTTATATATTTTTCGACTATTATTTTTACAGAGGCTATACAGTGTCATTTTTCCTAAAAAGATGATTCCTTTGTATAAATAATGGGAGTATAG